TGCTTGTACAATAAATACCACCAGCGGTTTACCCCTCGTTGTGGATATTCTGTCAGTGTAATTTTTACGCTTAAAACCCGATTTAATGAGACTGGATCTGTCATGGAGAGGCATAGGGAGGGTCGACCAAGGTCGACAAATGCTAGGGAGGACAGAAGCTTACTGAGAGGAGCTAGGATGGATCCTGCAAGAAACTACACGTTGCTCAGCTAGGATCTTTTGGCTGCTAGCAGAGTACGTATTACCCCCCGGACGGTCTTAAATCGATTAAAAAAGCAGGTTTAAATTGCTATAGGCCTATAAGACGCCCTCCGATGACCGCGAGAGTCAGGTTAGGGTCATAAAGCTCAGCGTTTGCTCTGGTGTAATGAAAGAGCTAACTGGAATGATGAGTTACATACTGCGATGTTCAGCAATGACAGCCGCTTTTGTCTTCGTACTGACAGACATACAGTTCGTGTGTGGAGACTAAGAAATACAAGACTTAACGACCGATATGTTCAAGAAGGGCATCCCTTTGGAGTTAGAGGTGTAATGGTCTGGGGTGGAATTCTACGGAATTGTATGTCTGTGAAAGTACAATGACAGGTGAAATTTATACTGACGACATCATTGGAGGATCATGGAGGGCGTCTTATAGGCCTATAGCAATCTGCTGGCAGCCAAAAGGTCCTGGCTGAGCAACGTGTAATTTCTTGCAGGATCCATCCTAGCTCCTCTCATTAAGCGTCGCACAGTGCTTCGAACATATGGCTCTAGAGGACAAAAATCCAAAACTTCTCTTTTATTGTAAGCAATTTATTCAAACTAAGTTTATTTGACACAAATAATGAGTACTCTCATTGTACTAAATGATGATGTTCTTAGTCCCACGTTTATGAAAAAAAAATCTTATAAATAATAATAATGTTGGAGCTGTGTTCCATCTAAGCAAATAATAAGTTATAGTATGAAAACGGTGTAAGTATTAAATAAATTCCTGTGATAAAAAGAATTGAAATAACATTAGAACATGATTCCTACAATATAAGCCTAATATAAGATAAAAATGTTTTTCTTTAATGAAAAAGAAACATTAATGTTATATTTAATTAAAAAAAAACTTAAGATACTATAAATTTACTTTAGGACAACAAAATGCATAGATCGTAACTACTCTGATTCAGGAGAATTACTGCTGACAGAATCTTCCAAATTTATAGTATCCAAATCACAGGTAGATGAAGTATCCTCACATATAATATATTTCTGTACATCATTTTCTAATATGTTACTTTTTCGCGTTGTTACTGTTCATTTTGTCGGTATGAGGGGTTCGGATGTTAATAGTTACATCTTTAATATACCTTCTCCATATATTATTTTTTCCTTTTCTTGGGTATAACATTTTATAATAAATTGAAAGATGGACATTTTTTTTATGCGACGTTTCGCTCCAACATAGTGGACTTTTTCAGGCACAAGTGGTGTCTCATTTGACTGGAAGGTTCATCAATATCTAATAAGAACATATTTTTTGAAATACAAATAATTTTGAGTTCTTATCCTTATGATCAAGCCAAGTATTAACCAGATCGGCATTGCTTATCAATTTTACTCCATCTGAAAAGTATTATAAAATAAAGTTCGTCGCAAGCAGACGCAGGTGAACTATACAAAAAATAAAAGTGTATGAATATGGCAACAAAAATATTCAATAAATACGATATGTTTTAATATGTTTTTTTTTAAATGCCTTTTTGAAGTTTGAAAACGTAAAATTTTTATACCCATTTAAGAATCATCTTAAAATAAATAAAAACTAAACAATCACGAACTTGTTTAGAAATAAATTTAAAGTACATACCTTGTTTAACAATATCCATAGTGGCTTTCAATTAAGTACGTACCCGTTTAACTCCATAATATACAGAACTACTATGAACGTTATTCTTTTCACTGATGAGATAATGATCGCAAAATTTATTTTTAGTGAAAATATTTGCTAACAAAAGCGCTGTTTATGAAAAATAATATACAGGATGGTTGAACATTGCTATAAGTATAAAATTATATATTTAGATATTAGTAAATTTTAACTTATTTTTTGATTTTTGTCCATGGGACGAAGCACTGTGCGTCGGTCCTCCCCAGCATTTGTCGACCTTGGTCTACCCTCCCTATGCTTCTCCATGACAGATCCAGTCCAATTAAATTGGTTTTTAAGTCTAGAAATTACACTTTAGGTGACTTGAAAACGATCAGCCACATCGATATGTCGCGCACCGCCAAGAAGCAACCCAATGGCTTGATTTGCTTACTCTACTGTTAAATGACGTCTGTTTGTATTACCGATGACAGAATAACCACAATATCGCAAACTGCCGCTTAGCAATACGCAAACAAATTCTATTCTAAACAAAAACTAAATGTACATTTTTGATGATAATGCTCTTTATTGGTTTGGGTACAATTTTTTATGTTTACAAACAGTATTTTTTTAAACACAAACGACATAGGTATTAATAGCTATAACACATGTTTTCTGAAAAATTTTCTTACTAGCGAAAACACAATATCCTTAATTTTTTTCGATTAGTTTATAACGGGAGGCTCCAAGGAGAACGACACTTTGTATTGAAATAAAATTTCGTGAGTGTATGTAGGTTAATTTAGAGCATTTTTTAAATAAATACATGCCTTTTTTATCAAAAAATTTTACAATTTGTAGACAAAGGTAAAGTAAACAAACAAAGTAGACAAACAAAGTAAACAAACAAACAAAAGAGAATACAAAACTTTATACAAATAACATTATCAGTCTTATTGTTTAAAAATAATCATTTATAAATATTAAAAATATAGAGTTCTATAGGGTGTCCCAAAAAGAAGTTACACATCAAAGTTGTGTTTTTTGTAATGGAACATCCTATATATTAATTGATTTTCGAATTCTTGGAGAAAAATAAAGGCGAGTTTCATTAGAGAACAATATGACTAAAATGTAAGGTTTTCGACATATTTAACATTTTCTAAAATTGAAGAACAAATTTTAAATTTCAATAAAAGCTACCTAAATTGGAATTTATCTGGTAGAGTTATCTGAAAAAATAAAAAAGTTTCAGGGTTGAGCCAGTTTTGACACGCAATTTGTATATGATACAGTACAAAACCTTTAAAATGCCTTTTAAAGACTAGTAAATAACATTCTATATTTTTCGTCTAAAAATAACTATCATGTTTATTAAATAAACCATTCTATGAGTAAGTATTTTTAATTAAACTTTATTTTTCAACTTTGGAATATTCTTCAACTTCAATATGGAATTTAAGTTATTATTCGGACGGAATTTTAAGTATTTTTAAATAATGGATGGGTATATTTAGGCAATTCGTTAAGTTATAAATCTTTTGTTATGTTATTAACAATTCTACAATAAGAACATTTTCAAAATAGTGTTTTAAAATGTTTACTTCCACTCAATTTTTTAGAGATAGGCACCAATAAAAAAATTGTAATCTTACAATTTGAAGGTACCTTCAAATAGTCGAAAATTCGATCTCAACATGCTCATTATATATTATGACAATAAGTTATTTTTAGTACGGAAATTGAATAATAAATATACCGAACAAATAAAATAGCATTCCGCCTAGAAAATTGCAACTTTGATATGAAAATATTGTTAGAGTAACTTTGTATACATTTCTCGAAATATTTATTTTAAAGTCAACTCATTGATGGAATATTTTGTAATAAATAGAATTAAAAGCCTAAATATGAAACTTGATATAAATGTTTTTCGGAACAGTTCTGTGTAATCAATAACGACATTGCTAACATAAACATCAGTGGCAAAATATGTCTTTTTGCGGACGACACTATAGCTTGACTTGGAGCAACAAGGACGTTGGTGCGACTCGAACCTCCTGAGTCTAAAACTAAAGCTTTGTCGTATAAAAACTCGCTGCAGCCTTTTGTACTTAACAACACCTCCATTGACGTCGTAAAATCTGTAAAATTCTTAGGGCTTGTTGTAGACAATTCTCTGAAATACATACATACCGAAGCTTTATCGAAAAAATTGAGCTCTGCCTGTTTTGCATTAAGATCTGTTTCTAAGGAGCTTAACTTGTCAGTGGCTAGAACTGTTTATTATGCACTTTTTGAGTCGCACCTCAGGTATGCCCTTCCATTCTGGGGTACGTGTTGTGCGACTCAATTTGACCGCATTTTCAAGCTCCAGAAGAGAGCTGTTCGATATTCACTGGGACTAAACAGTAGAACTCATTGCCAGGACTTTTTTAAAAAATTAAAAATATTGACTCTTCCTTCCTTATTTATATTTGAATCCGTTTGCCTAATACGTAAACATGTATCAGCTTATCAAGAAAGGCCATCTCACACTTATCCATTCAGGAACGCGGAGCAAGATCTTTATCTACCTACCCCACACTCAGAGTTAGTTAAAAGTTCAATATTATACAACTCGAAAAAAATGCACAAGCACCTGCAATTTGAAATCAAATCGATAACATCATTTTCTTCATTTCGCAAAGCATTGAACTCTTATTTACTAGACAAGGCTTTCTACACTGTAAATGAATTATATTTTGAAAGTCGAATTTGATCTTGTAAACACTGGTCTAATGTTTGCTATTGCTACATTTACTAATGACATCGAAATAAATTTATTTTGAGGTCATTGATATTTACTATGAACTAGCTAAATATTTTTGAATGTTGTTATTATTTTTTTGTTCTTTGACGTTGTAAACATTTATATATGTTTATTTTAAACAATAAGACTTGGTTGTTTGTTTGTGTACCTTGTTTGTTTAGTTTACCTTTGTCTACAAATTGAAAACTTTTTTGACAATAAAGGCATTTATTTATTTATTAATCCAATTGATAATATTATTATTTATTATTGTTTATGGATAATATTATTTATTTTGCATTTTACAACGCATATTTTTTCTGAGTGTTAAAATCTTACTGATATTATTTTTATTTTCAGGTCTGAATTACTCAAAGGTAAGGAAATAAATTTAATTTATTATTTATACATTTTCTAAAAATATTTAAAGTGTAATGGAATACCTTAAAGAAAGTAATAAGTATATGACAATAATGAGACGAAGTTTTTTTAGAGATAATTGAAAAAATGTATAATTAGTACAGTATTTATGAATTACAGTTGGGGGTTGGAACCTTTTGTGTTACAACAGCAAAATAAAACACTAAATCACGGCAATACACCAAAACACTTACCATGCATAAAAAACGTACTAACCATGCATATAAGAGCGTCAAAATTAATAAATGTAAAGATAGTATGAATAGAGACATTGGCCCAATTCCTTCCAGTTATCTGTTCCTACTGCTCTAGTTTCGATAATTAATTGTTAAGCTGCGTCCACATAGCTCGCGAGCAGGCCGAACGCAACACGTGAAACACGAGAAACATGGCAAACAGTCGGAGCGAGATGTTCGCGGCGCTCGCGGTGCTCCACGTGCTTGCGATCTCATAAGGTGGGTATACACATGCGAGCCGAGCGGTGCGCGAACCGCTTGTGAACCTATAATTCGCAAATGTGTACGTTGTTTTGAGCAACGAACGGCCCGCAAACCGTGTTCGCGGCGATCCGCCTCCTGTCAGTTTTTTTGACGAACACAAAGGGATTCGTGGCTCTCGGTGGACGGGCTCGTGTGTTGTTCGTTGTTTGTATCGAACCTCCAGACAATCCAGACGCACTGTTTTCAATTTTTAGTTTTTGTTTACCGGTTGGAAGAGGTATAGAGGTTTATTTAAATATGGAGTTGTCGGAGGAAATCATTTTAGATTTAATTGACCTCTATAGAAAAAAAGCTTTATTATGGGATCCAAAACAGAAAGAACATTATAAAAAAAATTAAGGAGGACGCTTGGAGGGAAATAGGTGTCGAACTGAAAAAAATGCAGACCAATGTAAGAAGAAAATGATTTCTTTATTAGTATCCTACCACCAACGTCGCTGCTTCATTTTCTTCTCTAAACTAGCCATCATTAAAAACACACCACTCATCACCAACAGAGCATAATTCTCTTCTCGCCAATAATTAAACGCGTACTCGCACCATCACGTCGCATCGCAAAAATGACTGCATGTTTTCGGTTGGTTTGCGGCGTTCGCGCTTTTTCCTTGGATCGTTGAAGGTTCGTACAAAAGCAATTTGCTAACGAGCGGTTTGCGAACCTTTCAAAACCCGCTTTCAAAATCAGTAGCGGACATGCGATAAAAAAATATTAAAAAACATTCTGTCTGTTTGTAAATCGCGTAGATGTTTACTTTCACTGTGCTGGGATCTACTTTTGAAATTATTAAATATCCAACACCGCCTTTTTTCTCTTTGTCTCCTTCGTTTTGCAATAATGATCGCACTAGCAGCCGCTATTAAAAATACTTCGGTATCATCCATGTCCGATCAGCACGAACGCAAGCACTACATTACAATGTAGACGCCGTTGCTTGCGAGCCGAAAGAGTTTGAGAAACACGACAAGCAGGAAGCGCGAGCAACGCCAGCACAATCAGAAGCAAGAACGCGAGCAGGATCACGAGGAATGTGGACGCGCCGTTATGCTCGGTTGGTTTTGACTTGCTTGGCTAGTTTTTACCAAATCTACTCGGAGCCAACTGAGCGAGTATATAAACGTTCAATTTGTAGATATTGGTTCAGTTTTAATCGTATATTTTTATTTCTCCGCTGATGGGTTCCTATGTCCCCTATGTAGTAAAATTTACATGAAAAAAAATATCAATATGACGTTTTAATAATCGGGCGATGATTAAAACGTCAGTAACGATTTAAATATCAGCTGGTAACATGATTAGCAAAACATACGTCGAGATTGTTATACATTATTTTGGAATATAGAGGTTAAATTATGGTAATTTTATATTGCCGAAATATGCATCTCTGTTATTCATTAGCTTTTGTGTAAAATCTAGATTAACAATTTACTAATATTTTCATAACGTTTAATCTGTTTGGGTTTAATTAGAATTAGTCCTGAAGGAAATCAGTACACGCTTCGTTTCAGTTCTCACTGAATAATGCTCAGGGATACATCTGATTGAAGCTTCAGGGTTCAAAGTTTCAAAAAAAGAGTCTCTCTCTCTCTCTCTCGCTCTCTCTCTCTCTCTCTCTCGAAAGTTAGAAATGATACATTTTTTTAAGTGATAATTAGGTCCTTGCGCAAGTTATGCCGGGTTTATGGTTTGGTTGTAACACAACATTTACATAGTCGTAATCACAATCATAGTCATAATCATAAAAGTTAAACTATCCACTTGTTATAAACCTGCTGACATCTATCTTGAACTTAGCCTTTAATTATGTTACTCAATTTCACTGATATAAAAATTATGATTATGAAAATGTTCTATAAACGCACATTAAAATTGCGTTGCGATTATGACGATGATTAAGACTGTGATTGTGATTACGATTTATGCAAATGTTGTATAAACCCGGCATTAATATTGACCAGTATTCATTTTTTCTTCTATCAGAGAGAGTTGAGATCAGTTAGAGTTGAGAATGAAATAAAATAAAGTCGAGGCAACAAACCGTATATTGGTAATTGGTTTTATACACAAAATTATATTGGTATAATGGTACATATTATAAAAAAACTAACGGTAGTTGAAACTAATGGTGGGTTCGTGGAGCACGCTATTTGCGCTATTCGGTACTACTTTTCGTGCACAAAATTGCTCCGCGAACAAAAAGTAGAATCAAATAGCGTAAATAGTTTACATAATGATAATTACACTCTAGCATGACCTTTCCGTACACCCTGTGTCCTAACTTTTCCAACCAATCTTCCATAATAAATAAATAAAATAAATGCTATAAAAAATAAAAGTAACAAACGGGTAACCAAAATAGAACATAATAAACTGACAAGAATTAACAATTAGAAATAAAAAATTAACGCACAAGGTTAGGTACGAAATAATAACCTAAAACCCATGAATCGAACTTAACTTTACTTATTCTTATTCAGCTTTTATTTGGTAATGGCTCCTGTTTCGTCAAACGGGCGAGTTGACGTAGTTCGTTTGCGGTCCGTTAAGATTTTTTTTACTAAAATTAGCATCGTTGTTGTTCATTTTTCGGTATTACATTTTGTATACAATTTATTACCCTTTTATTAGAACGTAAAATTTTTCTCAAGACAAGAAATTTCAAGAGTCTTGCAAGACAAGACAAGACTTTGCCATTCAAGAAATCTGCAAGACAAGACTTTGAAAATTTCTTCTCTTGAATTTCAAGACAAGACAAGAAATTGAGAGATTTTCAAGACAAGAATTCTTGTCTTGTGCAACGCTAATAATAACATCTTTAGCGATCCTAGTACCGAAATATCTACGATATGGCGAAAACTTACAATGTAGGAATTCTAAGAGGTAAACCTCACGGTTGACTGGACCCAACTTGGCGGTTGAATGCCTGGCCGCAATATAAAAGCTCAGTTGTTTTAGGAATTAGTTTAGATTACATTTGATAACGGTCAGTGATCCCTCTGATCGACACGCTGCGCTGTGTTAATCAAAATAAATAAAGCCAATGGAATTCCGAAATTCTTTTAGATTTAATTTCTATATACAGGGTGTACTGTATTCCTGAAACTTTGGCAGAATATTCTATAGATAAAAATAATTAAAAATGTTCGTATAAATGTATGTCCTAAAATGCTTAGTTTCGGAGAATTTTCGGTGTCGAAATTTCATTTTTATTTCGATTTTTTCCAAATAATTTCTGAAGTAACGTCAATATTTGGATGAAAAAATTGTGTCTGGGAGTTTTTTGACAAATTTGATTTTGATGTCAAATATGACTCCTACTTTTTTAACTGGTTTGAAAATTAATAACTTTTCGTCGGTACCTGTATAAAACTATTGAGTAAGAAATATACATTTAAGACGTTTTTTTTTATGTAAAAACGATCTCTTGGTAAAATTTGCTACGAGTAATGGTTCTCGATATATTTGGAATCGAAATAATTAATACCTGTCATTATTGACATAAATTAAATACGTTGACTAAATAGTTATTATACTGAAATCCTAAATTTGAAATGTTTTTGTGCTGAAAGTTGGACTGAAACTATTTTATCGTCATTTTTTTCGAAGAAAAATTTATGATTAATTTGAAAAAAAAAATAAAAAACTAAAATAAAAGATAAAAATAAATTTATCATTTCAGTTCTAGTCTGTCTACTCAACATGTTTATTTTTTTGCCAATAATGACATGTATTGACTATTTTCATTCTAAATATCTTGAGAACGGTTGCTCGTAGCCGATTTTTACCAAGATTACATTTACCATTTACATTTTTACGTAAAAAATCACGGAAATGTATATTTAATCACTCAGTAGCAGAGAATAGATACATTAAAGAAATGCTAACTTCGTGTTAAAAAATGGAAACAGACGCCACCTGGTGTAGCCTGGCAGTACTAGCTAAATTTTTAAATTGGAGGGACGGGGAACTATTAAAATTACATTTTAATAGTACATTATCATCTATTTATTACTGATAATACATAAGTATATAATAAATATCATGCATAAGGCACTATGTTACAACTACATGTATCATAACACACTAATATCACAAAAAATATATGTTAATTTAAATTCCTTTAATGATCTAAGGAAACACTATCTAAACACTAAAATTTAAGTTACAATATGCTCCTTTTTGCATATTAATGCCAAATAATATGTCGATTTAATAAAATTTTACTGGCATCCTTCTGAGGTATAAATCAGATGAAAAGGACATTGTTTTTGTAATAATTGTTTGTTTTGTAAACATTTTTTGGATACAGTACAGTTTTAAACGGTCAGTGCGATATAAACAAGGATCTTACTATTATTTGAGGTTAGAAAGTATTTAAATAGTATAAAACATAAGCGACATCATTTTTCACCTTAAATTATAGAGGTACTTACATGCTTTGAAATTATTATCAGGAAAT